TCTAAGAATTAATCCTTATTTGTCACATAGGTTCTGTATATTTCATAAAAAGAACCTTTCTGTATATAATATTACCCATGTTATAAACAAAATTCTAAAAATTTGTGGAAAAATTTTTGTAGTAATTTCTAAACCATTTTCAACCAAATATAAAGTGATAACACTTAATTTAAATTAGAACAATGTGCAATCATATACTCATATTGTGATAAAGAGAATATTGATTCATCAGTATTTGATGATGAAAGTGCTGATGCTTTGATAATTGGAACACGTTTATGTAATGAGATCTCTAGGTCACCAGTGTGTAAATTATATACATCAACTTTTTGGGCTTGATAATTTTCTGAGAAAAAATAATTCTTATCAATACAACTTTCCAAATATTTTGTACTGTACAGGGTTCATCTTGGAATAGTTTTTTAATATCAAGATAAACAGTTGGAGGAAATAAAAATTCTTTGTATGATTTGTAATCAACATTGCACCAATTCATGATGGACTTTGGAATTCTATATTTGAATTGTGGATAAATAATTGATTTATATATCCCTGAAGAATTCATCAAGATCAATTCTAATTCAAGAGTTGAATCTGGGTCTTTATCTGAATGTGGTGAAACAACATTATCTAAAAATCTTACAACACCACCAATATTGTCAATAGTTGTTTGAATTTGTTTATTATAGACAGCAGAAAATACCCATGTTCTTGACTCAATCAAGACTCCGTCACCTTTTTCATAATCACTTGTGATAGATGAAGAGGAGGATTTGGTGGTGGATAAGGATGACTTCATGTCTTTATCTTCAAAACATGAAAGAGTAATTAATATATCAACTTTGTTATCATCAAGTTTTATGGCATTTGAGACCACCATAAATCTGTTTGCAAAACTGATGCATTTGCTTCTATTTGAATATTATTATTGATTGGAAAAGCTTCTGTGATATTTCCTGTCTTGTAATATTTTAATTCAAATTTATCTATGTAATAATAAATACATTAATTATATTAATGAAAATATGAAAATATTAATTAATTCTTAATTCTCAGTTGTTGATTTTTGATTTTTTTTTTTACCAGAGTTAAAGCTTGCAATGTATTCACCATCATGGCTTGTTGCAATGTACTGGCAATTTAGATAGCTGTCAATATAAGGATATTGTTTATTTTTTAAATGTCTTTGTTGTGGCAAACCTCTAGAAATAGAACTTTGTTGGAAATAAATTGATTCATTTTCTGCTACATATTTTAAATTTGGACAGTACAGTTTCGATTTATCTGTTTTGTCTTTAATTAATGACATACCAATCAATTATTTAGTTAATTAATTAATTAATTCCACTCCATGAAAAAAAAAAAAAATCAAATTAATTGTATTTAAAATTCATCATATATATAGAATAGTTAATTTAATTTTCACGCACGTACCAAAAAATTACAATAAAGATATTTATGTAAATCAAATAAATAATTCAATAAAGATAATCAAGAAACAAACATGTAAACTAAAGTAAAAAAAAATGAATTCATATTAATTACATTATTTAGAAATTAAAAGATGTAAAAAATAATTCCAATTTTGGACAGATAGATAATCCAGACATTTTTGTCCAGTGTAAATATTTCGTAGTTTTTCGGCTATTGATATATTGATAGCTGAAATTTTTTTCTGTTATAAAAACTTTTCCTGAGGGTATCACTTCCTAATGCAAAAATAATCTTTGAGATTCAGAATTCGGTTGTTGTCCTTGTTTTTTTTTTTTTTTAAAACTAAGACTTCACTTCAAATTTATTAAACATGTTACATATAACGTTACCAAAAAAGAAATAATGACCTGCCACCCATGATACAAAGTAAATTGATGGAAGATCCAAGCCTTGCATTGGCTACCAGGATTCAAACAGGCCAACTGAATGTTTTAAGGCTAGGCCACCCACATCCTTTCTGAAGATAACCAACACACATTGGTTGTTGTCCTTATGGTTTTCGTAAAATAATCTTTAAAAGTTTTGTCGATTGACTATTTTTATTTTGCAGATCATCAATTTGACCAATAAGAATGCAAGATCGTGATCAAAAAATTATTTTGTGTTACCATTAAAGAATAAGAGATAATATCCAATTAATAAGGATAATATTTGTTAATAAAACGAAGTCAATACATAGTTAAAAGGTGACTTAAATGATAAAATAAATAAATAAAATAAAATGATAAAAGTGACAAACACTTCAAGTGGAAAAAAATATACAATTCAAACAAAATCCTGACAAAAAACAAAAATTAGGATATATATAATTCAAGAAAACGAACAAAAAAATCAGACACTTACAAAGAAACAGAATCTACTAATACATTCAATGATAATAAAACTGCCTTCCTTGATGATGTTGATATGAATGAGACTGTGGAAAATAATGATAAAGACTTTATTGTTATCACAAAACAGACTTCATTCATTGCAGCACCCTCATGAAAAAATCATCAATATAGGAATAATTTTTGTTAAAACTGCATGTTTTACTAGAGCCAGTACTCGAACCATCAACAAAAAAAAATACATGGCAAATTTTTTTGATAACCAAACTGATCTCAACTTAGCAATTTAAATAAAAATCATCAATTTGTTGAAATCAGACAATTAGAACCGAACCAACCAATGAACAAACAATGACATTAATGCATGCTCAATTCAGTATGTGATGTTCCATTTGATATCAAAATCCCTATTATTCGTTCAACATTTTCTAGATTTCAAATTGTCAGTAAAACACATGGTTTATATTAACATTTTTTATTACCTTTGCAGAAAACTAAGACATTCAGGAATTCCATGCAAAAACATGGTCTGTATATATTCTCAGAGACTCTACTTGTGTTATTCCCTTAATGTTCTCTATGCAAAGTAGCATAGATAAAAAATCCGATTGGCTATTATTGTATCATAAAAATCAAGTGAAATTACCCAATGAAAATCATGCATGCAACTTTTCAATTTTTTATTAAATTTATTTTCGTTTATTTTTATTACTTGTCTAAATCCTTCTAAAAAAAATTTTTCTTTTGTCAGGACTGATTAGATCAACAAGAGGATTGATTTCACAGCTTATTTTCGCCAAAAACTAATTATAATTATATTGATATACTTAACAATCATATAATATAGAGTTTATATAATATATATCTTGATTACCACATATTATACAAGGACCAAAATTTTTTTGGCTTACATCTTTATTCATTTTATTAATGACAAATGATAGTTAGAAATGTTATTTACTTATTATTGCTTGAATTATCTATTAGTTTTATTTTTTTATGTTATGCGTTAAGTTAAAATGTAAATCATCACAAATTTGGATGTTATGACAAATTTAGAACAACTTTGTTATTAATAAAAATCAAAATCCAATTACGCTCAGGAAAGAACAGAATAGCAGAACATTTGGGGCATGGACAATAGAAAGGGACCAAACGTCAAAAATCATGATTTTGAGTTGATGCCACATATATATGTAACTCGTCGCAAGGAACAATTTTAGCTTAGAAACAATACCCACATTAATAAAATTTTGAGATATCTAAAGAAAACTGCAATACATATAAGAACCTAAAAATCGGTAAATGTAACACGAATTTAATAAAGTTGTACAAAATATATTAAAAAAAAAATTTAATTTTATTATATATATTTTTTTACAACACAAATAACAAATAATTAAATATATAAAAAATGACTTCTACACATTTATTTTTTAACAATGTTTTTACTGAAACACATCCCAATTTAATTGACTTGGAAGAATCCTTTGCTAATTTGAGAATAGGTTATATGCCTAATTCAATTATCAACAAAAATGAAGAAATAGTTAATGAAGCAGAAGAAAGGCATGATGAAGTGGAAGAAAGTTATGGAGAAGAAGAAAATGATTTTGAAACAGAAACTTTGTCTAAAGAACAATTAGAAAAATTCAAAAATATTTATAATAAAAATAAAATAATCAATGACCAAATTATTGACGATGAAGAGCAAATACAAATATATAATGATATCAACCATTATATAACAAATTTACTAGAACAAGTTTGCTGTCAAAAAGAATGCTTGAAAATGAATTTAAATTTTAATAATGTTAAAACTAGATATAAATGCTTTCTTGATTTAAAAAAAACTGAACAAGATATTTTTTTAAAAGGTGTTCTTTCTGCCAGTTTGAGAAATGAAATAACTGCTAAAGGAGAAAAAGGGAGGAAATTGGCAACCATTTATTTTTTTGGAGGGATTGAGGTTTGTAGTATTGCATTCACAGGTATCTATGGCATAGGTAAAAAAAGATGGAAAAATATTAGAAGTTATTTTAATGATTTTGATATACAACCAAGAACACATTCTTTAACAGGAAGAGTAGGTAATAAAGCAATATCATTTGATGTAGTTTTGGAGATTATTAAATTTATATTAAATTATTCTAATATAAATGGACTCCCATCTCCAGGTAAATATAAATTATTTGAAATTGAAAATGAAATTTTTATTAATTAATCTAAAATTTATTTTAGGAAGAAAATTTAAAAAAGACACAAAGCCTATTATATTTCTTCCAGCAAATGAAAATCATACAACTGTATTTAAATATTTTATTGATGCAGTAGAAGAAAATTCTGAAATGTATGTCTCAAATAGAAAATTTCGAAGAATATGGCATACATATCTTCCAGAAATGAAATTTCTTACTCCAAGAAGTGATTTATATCATGTTTGCAAAGAACATAGGTTCAATGCAAATTGTTGGATGGAAGAAGAAAAGGAAATGAAGGTTAGAGAATGGAACAATCATATTACATGGGCAATGAAGGAGCGTGAATATTATAGGTATTAATCATTGTATATTTTTTAATTTTTTGTTGCTGAGTTTATTTGTTAATTTTTTAGAGATTGCATAAAAAATGCAAAGGAAGCATTTGAAAATCTGAATCAAGATTTAAACCCTATTAGATCTGCAAATTCATTTAATATTAAACTTCACATTTCATGGGATTTTGCAGAACAAGTTCTTATCCCATATTCTTCACAACAAGTGGTATGTATATTATGTTTTTTATAAATAATTTTATGAAAGGTAAATAAAATTTAAAATAGATTGATTGGCAAATAGGGTAGTTCATTTTTCAAAGCCTTATATAAAGTTCAAGTATTTGGTATCTGTGAAGACTTTAGACCCAGACAGGTAATTAATTAAAATTTTTCAATTGATTTTTAAATTATATAATAAGTAATAAACATGATTATTATCTAGATTAATTATCTCATAGAAGAATCATAATTTGTTGGCAAAGGAGCTGATGCTGTTGTTTCTTTAGTACATAATTATTTTGAATTGTATGGTCTTGGTGAAGAGGAAATAATCATTCATGCAGATAATTGTTCAGGACAAAATAAAAACAATGCAATGATTCAATATTTAGCATGGAGAGTGTTAACAGGTAAGCATAAAAGAATCACATATTCTTTTATGGTAGCTGGTCATACCAAATTTAGTCCTGATGGGTTTTTTGGATTGTTTAAATTGAAGCTCAAAAATTCTGAAGTTGATAATTCAGAGGATCTTGTTAATGTTATAGAGTCATCAACAAATGGGTATAATGTTGCTCAGACTATTTATGATGAAAATGATGAAAGAAAAGTTTTTTTTTACAGCTGGACTGAATATTTAAAAAAAAATTTTAAACCATTACCAAATATCTTAAAGTATAATCATTTTATTTTTAATCAAGAAGAACAGGGATTGTATATGTTAAGAAAAGTATTGATGGTGAACTTATAGATATAGACATAACCAAAAATTTCACTATAGATGCTGTTTTAGAAAAAAAA